ATGTAACTGATGTGAAAAAACACATAGAAATTTCTTTTGCAAAAATTGTTACGCAAGTGCCCAGGTTACTCTTAGTTATCATCAATCTCTGGACTGTCTTCTTTAAAAGCATGAATGTTCCTGGCTTTTTTCCTTTTCTATGGGCCAGTAAGACTTCAGGATAAAGCATAAGGATTACATGAGCACGTATAATGAGACCATTCGTATTTTGAGATCTTTGGGAAGAGGAGGCAAAGTCGTGAGGATACAGCTGCTGCAGAAGAGGATGTGAAAGCGTGGCAACTGTGTAGCGAGGAGATGTAGTTTTCATCTCAGCTGCACAGTGGGAAGCACTTAATAAATTTTCTGTACCTACAGGCTTTTGGGGTAAAGGTGCTTGGAGAACACTCATTGCTAACAAGTAAATAAAAATCAACTAAACACAACTAAAAGGACAAAAGTTCTTTCTGAATAAAGTAAGATGCTGAAACTCATTTTACAGTAAGAGTCCATCAAGACACCAAATCAGTTAATCTGGCTCTAAAAGTCCTATTTGGCTATTGTACTTTCCAGGTGTTTGTGAGACGATTTCATGCTTTCCAGTTTGTTCCTTCTAAAGGGCATTCAGAAGGAACAGTGGAAAGTGTAGCTTTCTCTGGTATCACAGGCAGAGACTTTTGTAAGACCTAAAGAAAAGTTTTTGAGAGGAGTGCCTGAGTGGCAAGGAGTGATGTGTTTGGTCTTTCAGTCTCCTGTGTGGAGTTGCAACAATACCAATGTCAGGAATCTTTTGACATTTCCTGAGGAATAGTTTGTCCTTACAAACAGAACAAAATCAGTATTTTGTCTCTGTATAAGACAGTAAAAAAGATCAGAAGAAAAAGGAGCTTTCACAAATACATAAGGTGGTGATTTATCTACTTCCTAACAGATAGATAGGGTGAGGAAGAGACAGCACTGACATTTAATGCGGACCACGGTACCTGCTACAACTGAGCACCGTAAAGCATTTTTTCCCTTGATCCTCCACACAAGTTGTTTCAGGAGACCCGACTTGTTCTTTTCCTTTGTCATTTATTTAAATCTCACCACTTTCTGTGACTCATTTCCCCCCAAGGGTCTGGCTATGCTGCCAACAAAAAAAGATTTAAAGATTAACAAACTAGCTGTCTCAGAGAAAATCCCGCTGGTAGTTTACCTGCCATTGCTTTGTCTGAGGACACTTGAATGTCCAATAGATACAGTAATTGAGTTTTACTTTTGGTTGTAGACAGTTTTCACAAGCAGAGTATTTCCTTCCCCCTTGCACACCTGAGTGGTCTGTTGTGCATTCTGGTTGGTCCAGCAGGGATTTCAGAGGCATATATGAGAATATTGACCTAGTACTCCCAAAACCTTCTTAGTATTATGCCATGGCCCAGTAACGGGCTGAAAGGTTAGTCTTGTGCCATGGAATACTGATGGAATACTAGCTGGGATGACAGTCAAAGCCTTTGGTCTCTTAATTTTAGTAGGTGAGCTTTTCTGGGATGTCCATCTGCCTTCCTGCTGTTGACCTTCTGCAGACAGCCTGCATCCCTGCTCAAATCTGTTCTCCACCCAGTCCCCTTCTGCTTTTGGGTGGCCTTGTTTTTGCTATGGAATAAAGGGAGCCAGGGAAGTACAGAACCTTCTGCTCTGGAAATCTGTCACTGTTCTTTTAGAGATGCACACCATTAATCTGGTGAGCAGTGACATGGGAGAAAAATGTCAACAGTAATTTGGAAGCTGAGAGAAGCAATTGCATGCCGGCACTGGCAAGATGTAAGTATCTTTAACTTGGATAAGGCTACAGCAAAATGAGGTCAGTGAAGCTGAAGGAGATGTTGCCAGTGGGAGGAGTGGAATTGAGAAAATAGGTGCTGTGCACACTGTGATTACTATTTAGTCTCTGAGGAACCATGAAAAATACTACACATAACAGATTCAAGAGGATGCCAAGATAGTTATTTCCTGATGATTATGTTGAAAAAATTAAAGGTAGAAACAGATAAAGAGTGGAGAAACCACATTCTTACTTGGATGTAGGCCTCAGAAAGTAATATTATAAGAGAGCATGAGAATGAAATTGGAGAAGTTCCTTAGAACATTAAAGAATGAAATGCCATTTATCTAAAGTACAGCAGCAAGCTATTTTGAGTATAGTCTGTCATATGTTTGGAGGTAGACTTAAGTTTTGATTTATATGGACCTAAATGAACTAAGGTTTTTATTTTTAATGTCAGTTCTAAGCCTGCTGGGGTAGTCCCTCATCTTTCAAATATACTTAGAGAATATCCTGTGCTAGCACAGTAGGTAGCCCTGAACTTCTGAACTCAGTCTTCTCTGCCTGTAATACCTTAAGTGCAGTATAGAAAAACCAAAGGTGAAAACATAATGGTAACTCCTACGTATATATGGGATGGTGTACTTTTATTATTTTTAGATAGCTACATTTGAGTTATGGCCACTGGACTGATGGATAATGATCAGCTGATTTTCTGTCTGACAAATATTCTAGATTTGTCTCTACATACTTTTTAATGATGTGCATAAATCAAAATTCACGTACGTGAAAGTGTGTGGGACTGTGTCCTCCATCATCTTCCTGGGTTGTCTAGTATAATGCAGTGAAGGGAGATTACATCAGAGGAGAAGATGGGCTGGAGGGGAAGGGAGGGATTTGAAACAAGTGCACATGGTGGGTAAAATGAAACTATACTGCAGAAGTGAGTAGTTTCATATAGCATGAGTTGTAGGGCAGATTTTTTCCATGTAAAAAGTAACCATTTAGGGACCAAACATCCATGCAGGAGAGAAAAGAGAAAAAAAAAACAAGTCCACACAACACGTTTGAGGAAGTTTGTGGTGTGTTTTGATGTTAATGTCATTCTGTAGGTCTTTATGTGAACAGCAGTCAGCTCACAACAGTATTATTGTCTCACCAACTAAATGGCTGAAATGAAAGGGGCAGGAACTGCAGCAACACTCTTATTTTGTCAATGGGAACAAATTTTAACAGATTTACTAAGCAAAAGGAGATCCTGAGTATTTTCTGTTCTGAAGTGTAATTTGCAGTCTCTACTTGCTCTGGTGAGCATGTGGAGAAATATATTTAGGACACCTACAGTTAAGAAAATGTGAACACCCACAAAAACCCATGAGACTGTGTCTGTAAATATGGATTCATTCTTGTCATTTTGATATTTCTTGTCAAGTGCAGCCCTCACCCATTTTAATGAATACATAGTATAATGCTGTATCTAACCGAGAATGTTGATACACATACTTTGTATATTTTCTGGAAGTTGCATTCTTGAATGTCCATGTATAGTTTTTTTTTTATTTTTGCTACTTATAGGAAAGATTTATTTGGACCTGACCTGACTGTTTTCATGCAAGATAGGAACTTTCTGCTAAATCTCCAGGTCAGAATGTTCAGTTACTGACTCTGGTTAAAGAAAGTGGTTTATTTGCATGTTCAAGTCGTCTTTCAGACTTGCAGATTTTACTCATGCCTTTGCTTCTTGCCAAGAAGGATTCACGTCTTTTATTACAAAGTATTTAGAGGTACAAATATGATTAAGAATATATATTCTTGTTGTTGAAGTGACACAGCTGAAAGGCACTTTGAGGGAGAAAAGGAAAATGTTCTTTGTGGTGGAAACACCAGGTCAGCATCAGTAATCAAATTTCTGCCCCTCCCTTCATGCACATCAGCAAATCATGTTAGATCTCTATTTGCCTTGTTTTTTTCTATCCTTGAAATGCGAGTACTGATATTTCCCAACCTTCGCAGAATTTTAGAAATGAGACTGTGGTGCTTTGCTTCCTATGTGAGCAACAATAGAATGATTGAGACTTTCCTTATCCAATTCTTATTCTAAATACAGCCAGTTGTCAACCGAAAGCTTACAGCCTTCCATTAGGTTGGTCCCCAGCCCCATCTGTATCCCTTCCCACGCAAAGCACTGACCATCTTTAAACAAAGAGACAATATTCCTGTTCCCACATTGCACACAGAACTGTGTTCATACAGAGCAAGCAAATATTATTTTTAATTGAACCATTTATGCCTAACTATTAGAAATTACACAGTTACTTATCAGAAATTATTGTGTACAATGCTGGTATAATAGTCTTTTGTGATTTTTAATAATATAGTTGCTAATATCAGTATTTACAGACTATCCGTGTGTGCCACTTGCAGCAAAATATCACTTCTTCCTGCTTCCAGGTGTTCTCACTTAAGCTGGTGCCCACGGCTGTGATCCTGCAAACCCCTCTGTGCCTGATCCAAAGCCCATTTTGGTCAGCAGGAGTTTTCCCATGCAATTGAATGGGCTTTGAGACAGGGATCGAGGCCGCAGAGTGTTTAGTTTGATTGTTTCCAGGATTCAGTTTTTTATTAGATAAAAATCACATGCACAAGCTGAGGTTAAACCATGCTAACAAGGAGCAGAGGAAAACAAATGGTTTGATATCTGCAGCATAAAGAAATTTTATGAAGAGTTTTAGTTTGGTTTTTGAGAGGTATTTTTTGTATAATATGCTTCTCTGTGAAAGGGGTTTGTTCTAACGAGATTCTGAATAAGAATCTAAACAAGATTCATAATAAATATGCTTTGCTTCGTAGAGACAGTATGAAAAAGTAGAGTTTTAGTTCCCTTCTGAGTGGTTGTATGGCAAAACCACTTAAAAAGAGATCAGGTATAAAAAACCCCCATACAAGCGGCTGGGAATTGCTCACCCCATCCACAGGTTCCTTGCAGGTACAGAGCTGTTCACTGTGCTAGTCTGATGTGCAAATGGCAACGTAAGGAAATGCAGAGATTCTTCTTATCTTCTGGGGCACAAATAAAGCTTAAGCACTTGGTATTGAAATATATAGCTTTTAGTAACAAAAGACCTACTGGGCAAAGCCTGTGGCTGTTGTATTGTTGAGCAGGTGATTAACATCCATCCTGGGCTACAGCTGTTTTCTTCTTTTGTTTCATGTGCAGATGTTGCTATGAGGAAAGGAGTCAGCAATGACTGATGTGGAGCCTGTGGTCACAGATTTTGCAGCATCAGGACGGGCAGGCCGCCGGAACGCTTTACCAGATATTCTGGGCTCTCCTGCTGGAGCTGGGACTTCAGACCTGCCACACAAACTGGCTGAGCTCTCCGTTTCAGAAGGTAATGGCTGCACGTTCAAGAAACAGACATATTTATGCAGTCGTCCTTTGCTTTCTCCCTAAGACTTCTGCCACCATGCAGTTTTGATGTCAATACTAATATTTCTTTCTTCATTCAGGATTAAATTCAGCCTTCCAAAGCAGTTACCACTTCTGTTGCCTGATGAGACAAGTTAATTTTAACCCAGACTAAGTCTACCATATCCACCCACAGATTCAGTGTTCAGCAGCCTGGGGAAAGGTGCTGGGAACTGAATTTCAGTTCCCCCGAGGACGAGCAAACACAGTTGCATTGCTGGGCAGCTTGGAAAACCATCACTCCAGCTATAAATTAGGATCTACTTCTGCACTGAGATAATTTAGCACAAGACAGCAAGCTGCACTCTTAATCCAATTACAGCTATCCTAACTCGGGCATATACATTAAGAGTAGGGTTTACAGTGATTTACTCCTGCTAGTAGGCTTTCAGCTTTGCTGAGACCAGTGTCCTATTTTGCCATGTCCTTTTATTTGATAAGGTGCTCTGTTGATTTAGCACAGGTCTAATCAACACCAGCTTTACTATTTGAGTTCTTTTTAGGGGGGATTGAGTTCTTTCAGGAGGATTTTCAGATTCAGGAAGATCTGGTTTCTAATGAAGTGAAAATTTTAGGTTGGTCCTGACATGGGTTGTTGCCCCTACTTTTTTAGGTTCTGATTTGGAAGTAACTTTTTCTTCTCGTGCCCATCACTGTTGGTGCTGTCACAAATGCCACCTCAACTGCTAGCCCCCATCCAGGAGCAGCGATGGTGTGGGTGCAGCACAGCAGGAGACAGGCCTGTGCTGAGGAGTGGAGGGCCCATGAATCCCACCTGAAGTAGAGTATAGGAAGGATTCCCAGGCTCTGGTGATTAATGTTCTGCTGAAGCAATTGCAGGATGTTGTGTTTACAGACTCTTAAAGCACCATGAAGGCCTGGGGGGCGGTTCTGTTGATTACAAGTTGTTGTTGCTTTGGTGGTGTAATTTATATTCATTTGGGGTTCCATAATCTAAACCCAGAGTGGGCCCATGGAAGGACTGCTGGCAGGTAGAAGGAACATTTTCAGGAGGAGTGAGAAGGGACCAAATGACCACATCATGGCTTGAACCTGGGAAAGAGAGGGAAATAAGAATCTGACTGGGTGCTGGAAGGAGGCATTACTTTTGCAAAAGGAAAGCACAAAGATTTATGAAGGAGAGAGTGTGGACATAAAGAAAAATGGGAAAGTCAACAAGGTCAGATAGCCTCAGACTGCAGGGCACTAGTGGGGGAATGGTGAGATTCTTTCTGGAAGAGCAGGTGGGAAGGACAGCGGGCACTGTGTACATTCAAAGTAAAGCTGGGAGCCCTGTGGGTCCAGTTAAAACTCCTTTGTTTCAAAGAGAGATTTTTCCCTAGGAATATGAAAAGTATGTCCCTACAGATTTTATCCTTCTAGTGTGTGTGACTGAAGCACTGGAAATCCATTCCAAAGTGCAGACAGTCACTTAACTTTTAATGCTTTGATTTTCAAATAATACGGGGTTTTTTTACTCCAAATAGCTCTTTTGTCTGGCATGGTCAGGCTCCAGCAGGAGAGAACTGTTTCCCTTATCAAAGCAGAGGCAGATGGGAATTATATTGCTATTAGCGTCAGGAGCTGTAAAAGTGAAGTGACCAGTCCAACCCACTGAAATATTCATTGCTACATTATGTGTAACTAACCTTTGCATTGTTTAGATCAGTGACCCTTGAGGGAGATGTACCATGTTAACCATGTTAAACAAAGCACAGAAGATTACAACAGTTGTACATATGTTCCTTGTCTTTGTTTCCCTTTGGCCACTGGAAAGTTTAGTAGTTAGAAAGAACATACTTTTTAAAGCATGCAAAATTTCTCTCTTGGATCTTTTTTTTTTCCCCTGGATAAAAATAAACATGAAAGAGTGAAAGTCTTGTTAAAAGAAATGTTACAGCACAGCATAAAATAAGTACTTAGCCCTCCAGACAGAATAATCTTCTCCTGGTACCCATCCAATGCATTAAGAAGAAGAAATGAAACACAGCTACAGTAGTTTTAGCAAAATGTACTGATGCTTACAAATACAAGGACCGGCACTGCCAGGATTTGAAGAACAATTAAGAGTATGGGATTATCCTTTGCTTTTGTCATTGACATGCAGCTGTGCCAGAGCTGGCCTGGAAGGAGCAGTTTCTGTTATCAGCAGTTTGCAGTAATGATAAAGGAAATGAATACAGGGTACAGTTAGGTCTATTCTGACTGCTTGGCTGCTTTTTGGGGTTGGGAATTCCACCAAGTATCAGATGAGAATTACAGTTTTGTTGTGTTTTAAGTTAAACTTCTGATGAGACAGCAAGCAAATCAAGGTGAATTCATCAAAATGGAAAGAAAGTTTGGAAGATCAAATATTGTGACAAGGAAACAGTTTGTTTGTGAAATGTTTGGGGCTCTAACAGGCATTTCTTTTTGCCTGTTTCTGGCTTTAACATTAAATTGTTAAAAAAATTAAAGCCATTTCCAGCTCAGAACAAAGAAGCTGGATAAATGAGAAAAGTGGAGAAGACAGAACATGTGGCTATATAAAGTATGCCCTATTTTTTTTCTACTCTGAAAGATTCACTGAAGATTAGGGAAAATGGTGAGAGAACTCTCTCCATCTTGCTTCAAATTTAGCTAATGCTCATTGGATCATACATTTCCTCTCTTCTAAAATACTGTCAGCTGCTGTCATAGTGAAAGGTCAGGAACAGGATGTGCTAATACCTTTTGTTTGGCTTAGAAGAGAAAAAGAGACTTTGCTTTATTCTTTATGAATATACAAGTACCATAGCTGTTTGATATAAATTTCCACGTACTCTGCAAGCTGCATCAAATTAATGTTCTCATGAGATGGACAGGAGAGATTTTGGTGCCAGCTGTTTATCTCAGAGCCTAACTCTGAAATAAAGACCACCTGTATCCTGTCTGATCATCCTCTGATGGTGTGTAAGTTTCGGAGGGGGGAGACTTTCCACTGGTGGTCCAGTGGGAGGCCATACTGGAACCACGTTGAACAGTTGATTGGTGTCACTACTGATCCACAGGCTGAAGAGGAGTCTGCAAGAAGTTTGAGAGCAGAGAGGCTATACTTGGTCTCCCACACTCACTAATCTGTGTTAGGGCACCATTCTGCCAATAACCTTTATTGTTTGCTAAATTTTTCTACGTGACTTTGTGTAACTATCTTGATACACTCAGCAGTTTAGCACCTGTTGCACACCTAAGCACTACCAACTAAGATTAGATTTCTTCTAACAAACTGTTTTCTTCTACCCTGTCTGCAAGACTTCACTAATATTAGACATCCAGATTGCTGCCTCCTTTCCCTCAATGCTGCTGTGCTCCATAATGCGGAATGGTGTCAAATAACTCAGTTTTTAATTTACCACTGTAAAAACTCCAAAGCCTCCAAACCTCTGAGCAGACCTAGAACATCAAGCCACTTCTGCCAAGAACTTTAGGTGATGAATTCTGTACTGTATTATATATTTGCTGTGATATGTAGAGACCAAGATAGATAACTTTTTTGGCTGTGATATTTTACAGCAAGTCTCAGGGCAAATAGCTGAAAAAGTACCCCTTAGTTTACAACTATTACAGTGGAAGACAGTATAGTCAGATATGCAGAGCAGACCTCTCCTTGCCCCCACAAACTATGGGCTGTGCTAGATTTGGGTATACAAACTGTTCTGTTAGCACTGGTAATGCCATGTGGGACTTGAAGGTAGTGTGAAAATTATTATGCTTTGCAAGGAAATCGAGGCAAGAGGAATTCCTGTTTCTCAGTGAGAGAATTTGAGTATCAGAAGCAACAGCATGAAACTCTTCATCTAATGACCCTGCATGCTGGGGAGCTTTTACTTATATTAGTCATGTAAGCATTCAACTCCAACCTATGGAAGAGTGAACTTCCAAATCAGAGTGACAAAATATCCCCTCATCTTGTGGACAGGGTGAATTCTCCTAGGTATTTCTTGGCAGAGGAGGCCAGACAGATAACTGACATGTTCATAAACTGTAATGTTATCTACCCGAAATCACACGATGCTGAGAGGAATGCAGTATTCTAACTTGGCCTTGGAAATTACTCAGGAAAAAAGAATAGCAATGGTAAAAATTTATCTCCAATCTGTTTCTTACAACCAAATGCACATTGATCAGCATGTGCAAGGAGCAGGCAAATTGACACCAGTAGGCAATTGCTTTTGGAAACTGCCTCTGCAAGTTCTTTATGTTCTAGAGTTAATCTCTCTTTCTAAAGCACCCATGAGTTTGGTAATAAAAAAACAATCTGAACAGAAAGGATCCATGATCCCAAATATTTGGCTTCGTTAAAAAAGCTGTGAAAAAGTGTGTGGCATAAATGTTTAATTCTCCCTTTTTTTCAGATGAAGGAGCAGAGGGTGGAGAAGTGCCATCATCCAAAGCCTTGCTGGAAAGTCAAGAGGCGGAAGGAAAAAGCAATGGTTCCTAACACCTAAGGACTGCTGGATTAATGAAACCCATCGACAGACTTTCCAGTTTCCCTGTGTCACCCCTTCTGAAATGTGGTAGCAACTTTAGCAGCACAGACAAGGTTTTGCAACATACTTGTACCTAGATGACATTAACGTGGAACTACCGTTTTTTCTACTATCGTCATTCAAAACCAGTGTTCTACACATCCAAATGGGAGGAGAACTAAAGAATGTATCTCTTGGTCTGGGTTTTCTCATACTTATAGTATTCATCCTAACTAATCTTCCTTGACAGTTTCAATTAATATACTTAGCAGATGTACTCCCAACTAAAGATTGCTTCAAAATAAAAATCCTGTTTCTTAATTTCCCAAAATAGCTTATTTCTGACACAGAGGTGTATTCACTCTCCCCACCTTAAGATGATATTATTAAGTATACATTAGATTAAAGACATCTGTAATTTATCTCATGAGACTTTTTTCCTATTAGGCATATGTAGATGGGTGTGAGAAATAAAAAAAAAGAAGCAATTTTTTTCTCTCCTCCTCCTGTCTCCAAAAGGTTTTGTAAACTACTTAAACACCAGTGTTTATTTTCAAACTCTTTAAACTCTGTTTGACTATGGCAGATCATCTCAGTTCTCACACTCTTAGCAGTCTTGCCACTTCTGTCATTTCTGTTTTCAGGCTGAATATTATAGCTGTTCACATGTGTCTAAAATAAAGTAGCCATGTTTGTAAGTGATTAAATTTGTTTAATCTCACTGTGGAAATTAAATAGCTATCATCTTTTCTGGCTTCAGTTGGTTCCTTGATGTTTCTCTTGTATGACAAGACTTAAAACTCCCATAATACATATTTCTTTTATTTCATTTGGTGTTTTATGCTAACAATTAAGGTGTTTCAGTCATTGTGATTTTTACAAGGATTTTTAAGCAAATGTTTTTCTCTGCTGAAAGATTTTGTTTTGTTATGGAGGTCATGCTCCTGAAAATACTTAGCATTCATTCCCTTATTGTAGGAGACCTTATTATAGATACAGACATGCACCTTTACTGCATCCTGGGGCAGCAGACATTTACGTACTTCTTGAAACCTAACCACACTGACAGTCAAATGCTTCTGTTTGCCTACACAATCTCTCTGCTGGGCTGTAGGCAGGCAGAGGAAGCATCTGTGATGGGTACATTCCATATTTGACTGGTATTCCATCTATAAAGTATTTGTGTCTTTTATAGCTGGCAGAGAGCTTGTAAGAGGCCTCTCTGCACACCTACCATTCCTACTGATCATTTTGCTCACGCACTGTCTTTTAGGGACCATTCAGTAAAGGATTCAGTTTCATCCAACTGAACCAACACTTAGTTCCCTCCACTTACTTGTATTCATTTAACAAGTGCAACATCCCAGAATTACTTTCAGATTTGGAAAGGTAAAATAATTTACTCCACTGGAGCAAAACAGGTGGCTTAAGAAAGGCTGAGGGACTGAACTGGCTGACACTGGAGGACCAGAGTTGAAAACCATGTTGGAGAGGGATTCGGAGCTAACTATATTTGTGTTGCACACTCTTGTTCTGGCTTACAGTCCCATGTTCATATACCAGCCTCCTTTATAGCATCACAGTGCATTAAACTGTTCAATTTTAAGAAGTTAAAATAATCCCGTGGAAATCAAGTAGCTGAAACAGAATTCCTTATATGCTTTAAGTGGAGCATATGCTGAAGTGCTCTTCTGGGTCATGGCCTATATTGAATTCTCTTCTTTCACAGTTGCAGTGCTGGATATATTTAGATTCTTCTTTTACAGAATACAGACACTGAAATTTGGGTTACAGGAATAGATACTTCAGTATTTTGTTAGCCTAAGATGCTTTGAAGTTTTTTACTATTAAAACACCAGTTATGTACCAGCTGAATTTAGCAAATTATTCATGTGATAAACTATAAAAACCATTCCACAGCTATATACACACATAGAATTAACTATTCACAGACGTACAGCTTGGAACTAGTTAGAGTGCTCAACACTGGAAAACTGGTTTTTACTTTGTCCTTCAGCTGTATGAATCTGTCAGTGAGAAAATGCTGCGTAGGAAGAATAATATTAACAGAAAATGAGAGAAACTGCATAAGAACAGGAAGATTTAAAATGCAATGCAATTAAAAGCAAGATGACCATTTTTGATCTATATGTGGGTCACCTGTGGTCCTTATTTGCTTGTGTATTATCTAGTTGCAGATTAACCAAGTTACAGATGCAGAAATACTTCTTTGCCACAAGCATGTACAGTTTGTATCTAAACAATTGCTAGTCTAGGCTACATGAAAGAGATCTTTTGTAGTTAGTTCAGATATGCAAGAGGAATATCTAGTTATGCCCTGGATTTTTTCAGATAAACCTTTCCAGTTCTGAGCCAGCTGCATATTTCTGACCAATTTAAACAGAACCACAAAGAGTGGTTGGTGTGGTAGATATTGTGCCATATAAACTTTGGCCCAGAAGAATTTATTAGTTGTGTCTTACACTTTATTCAACCAGACAGGAGCTAGCCCCTTTAGAGCTGTCTGGGGGTCTCTATGCCATGCTGTCCAGTAGGCTAGGGTTTAGGCAGGCTTACTATCTTAAGCACAGCTAAAATTGGGAAAACTGGTTCGTTTTATTGTTAGTATCTTGAAGATAGGCGGTAGTCCTACTAAACTTAGGCTGACACTTTAAAGAGCAAATGAAGTGCTTCTGAATAAGTTTCACACTGAGCCAGTTTAGTTTGTCCTGTTCCAATCGTTATCCAGGTGATACCACCCTCACATTAGCTCAGCTAGTGGGTAATTGATGACAATGCATTCTCTTAATCCACAGGGTAACCCTGAATCAGCAGACTATTTTAAAACATGCTTAACATTAAATGCAGACTAGTCTCACAGAAGTCAGTAGAACGACTTAGTGCCTAAAATTAGGTACATACTTATAATTACCTTGATAAATTACGGCACCAAATTTCTATTAAGGCTAATCTGGTATTATAATGCATTAATCTCAATTTCCATTCCAGCAAGTGTGACACAAGTAATAGCATCTTTTTCATCAGTTTACAGCACTATCCTGGATTTTTACAGAGCAAAGAAATTCATTTTAGTACCAAGCAAAAAAAAAAAAAAGGTAACTTTTTTGTCTCCAAAGTTTAAAACTTAATGAAGCAATTATTCTTAGCAACTCTGCATATTAAAAAAAAAAACAACAACCAAACAAACAACAAACACACACACACACACACACACCCCAAAACAAACAACAAACACACACACACCCCCCCAACCAGCAAATACCCTTGTAACTACATTGTGCGTATATAATAATTTAGGTACTTTGACTATACAGAAAATTGGCCTCAATCTTTTCATATGTCATTAAGAAGGTACTTTTCTTTGGTCAGCCCTTCATCAGAAGCTTCATGTAAGAGGTGGATGAACATGCTGGGGGGCATCTTTTGTTGCTATAAAACAGGGAAGTTAAATTTGTTATCTGGAATGCAATAAAAGACTGAATAGGTTTTGAGATGGGGGACTGATTATTAGAATGTTTTAATTTGGAGAGATTTAGAGAAGTAATGAAGCATTTTTTAAAATGAAGTTTAGTTGCTATGATTCCTCATACAGCTATCTCCACCTGTGCCATATACCATCATTCTGCTATAATATTGTATAGGCTGAGCTTGGATGGATGAAATGAGTGACAAAGCAGTCGCAAAGTGGTATATTTTAAAAGAAACTTCCAAATCATTGATAGTAAAGCAATGTACAGGACAGATCTAGTTGTCACTGAAGACAAAGATCAGTTTTATGCTAACTACAGTGTGAATTATATCTAACTTTAGTTTTAAGTCATGAATTGCTAATCGTACAGAAAATTTCTCCCAAATCAGAAAGTCCATGAACACGAATGCTTGGAGGCAAGAAGACCAGTCAGTGGAAACATCATGTAATTTTGCACTGTGCAAGACACTGTATTAGTTATATGGACTGATAGTCTGAACCACAATGGGCACTTCTCTGTTGTGCTACTTTCATACAATGGCAATCATGCCAAATAATATAACTGCACTTGGATTAGTTAAAAATGACAATAGAGCAGTGGCTAGAAGAGGTTTAAATTACATTTTACCATCAGTGTTCCAAGTATCCTTTATGTATCACACATACAGAGAGGAATACTTCAAGATGTAACTAACAATTTAGGACTAGTTTGTATTCTTCTCTTTTGTCTGCTGATGCTCTAAGTGTGTGTGATAAAGCCCATGAAAATGAATTGAACTGAGTTTCTGCATGGATTTCTCCTCTGGTTTGGCACAGGTTATATTTGCTGTGCTCAGCAATCATAAACCCCTTAAGCCCCAGACCCACCACCATAGTGCATGTGGGCTCCCCAGGGTCCACACAGCACAAGCCAGTGAGGCTGAGCCCACTGGGGTACCAGGGCACTTGTTCTGAAGTGGTTTGGATAGAAAAAAACCAAGGGTTTAAACTGTCCTGCCATCTAGTGGGATCTAGCCTGCCAGGTAGTTTGTGCAAGTAAGTGGAGGGAGACCTCAAAATGAGCTGGGAGGCAGCTGCCTAAGAGGGGAAGTGCAAAGAGGGTGTGACCAGGCCTGGTGAGAGGTAGTCTGTCTCCCGCTAAACTGAGACTTTCACTTCAAGGGTTTCACTAAGGGTCCACTACCTTGGTGTCTCTGTGTATTCAGAAAGTTGGGCGATCACAGACAAGAGATATCTTGTGTTGCTGGGAGCACTGCTCCAATGGCTTACGTAAACTTGGGAAAATAATGCCAGCTGAAGCCTTCCCACTCCACAGGGCTGCTGTGCTGAGATGTGTGGTGCTTCTTCCTCTTGCCCCTTGCAGCTTACTGCCTCACCCACCCAGTCAGCAGGAGCCATCATCTCTGGTTCAGAGGCCCATGACCTTTCAGTAGAAACTCTCATGCTGCTTGGGCAAAGGAAAAATGACATGCTTGGGCACTAAGGGATGAACTAGCCAAAAGCATTTTCAGCCTGTAAACTCTGTCATAAAACAGGTCTGGCTTGAAGCCTACGCAGCTTTAAACGCCTGCTCTGCGATTTGGGCTAGGGGTACCAACACCACCATAGATGACTGGTTTTAACCTTTTTTAGGGAGAACTCTGTTTCATCTGCCCCACTGAAGCGATTCGACTTTGGATAGTAATTAGCAATAAATGCTGAGATCTGTTATTTCATTATTTTTATTTCCTTGTTCAGCCCAGTGGGTACCAGTTCATATCCCAAGATGGCCGGGAGCAATAGGAGGGCTGAAGGCCCTCACTCTGCCCTCCCTGTGCCTCGTCCTGATGCCAGATCTCTGGATTTTAATACAGTATTTATGACTGATGGAAAATGGGGTTTTTTGGCTGTTGATACAGAGCCTGGGTGCTGTGGGTTTTTTCTGGATTAAACATATATTCAGCAATTGCCTGCACAACATAAAGGCCCCTAATGTGAGGATTTGAACAAACCTTACCAGTGCTTTATTCCTGGGACTCTGCCGTGCAGTGACTGATGCTGTAAATCCACTGCTCATCATACAATGTACAGAAAAGCTAATCTGTGAGAGACTGGTTTAACCTCCCCATATATTTTAATTTTTTCCAGACCCCTTGGGCACGTTTGTAAATGATACATCAGCAGGGTACACAAAAAGAAGGAGCACGTAAACTCCCAGCAGTATTGCAGAAGTCGTTTTCTAGCCATGCACCTAGTTTCCTAAGGGGACAGGAGCTCCTCTTGCCCCAGG